AGACCTGTGTAATATCAGGCTGCGACTTCCTGTACTATTGCCATAGAAACCAGAATTGATGTCTCAAAATGAAAATTGTAAATAGACGAAAGTCATTAGGTAGTCATTGATCGTACCTTTCAGATTGTTGAAGATAAGCCTCACACAAGAGTGGTTAACTTCGTTACTTGAGCAGTTGAAAAACTCCCTCAGAGTGAGTTCTCCAATTATTTCAAACGTGAACCATTGGAATCAATCTACAACATTGACGATAGTTCCTACTTCATACTCTGCGGATGCAAAGAACGTAGAGGATGCTCAAAATCGCAATGGCAGGACCACTATTCATTACGTTACCGATTTTTTTGAACTTGACCATCTGCTAACGTCAAAATGGGTAAGACAAAGTCTACTGTTAATGTCATAGTGGGCTAAATGAGAAGATCCATCAAAGATGTAGAGGACAAGTAATCACAAATCACGATAGGTATTATATTTTATGTAGGCCGACCAATTTTTGCCATTATTAGTTGATTTGGTGTAATGTGAGTAGTTTTCATTACCCCTGACGACAGCAAGGAGAAAGCCAATATGGCTACAAATTGCTGGGCCGTCACTGGTTCTGGCCCTGCCACCTACGTTAATTCCAGATCCCCAGGAGGCTATATCGACATTCCACGTCATATACATGGCGCCAGTAGGGCCATCTCGGTACAAGCAGAGCAGACGGTTGTTAAGTACACAAAGTTCAGGAGGATGTGAAGTAAAACGGTTCCCGAGAGGGCGAGAAAGGCACCGCGATAGCCTTATCTTTTGGTATTTGGCCAATAAAGATTCTTTGCGTTTTGATTTTGGATTACATGAACCAGATCCCCACGAAAGCTAGCTAAAGTCATGCTATTAGGACTTTTTAGTAGGAGTAGGAAAGCCCCATAATTATCCAGACCAAGGAACGTGTTGTATGCGTCGAAGTGTGCCGTCAGGATGAGGGAGTCTAGTAGAAGTGACCCATAATTCGTGATTGCCTTGTGAACCACCATCAAATATAAAAGACATTTCATTGTTAGGTAATCTTGTCCATGCATCCAATCCAGCTGTTGTGAAAGCGATCTCTGGTGGAAAGCCTAAGTCATCGTCATTCATCAGCCTTGTAAGCAGCTCAGCAACGAGATTACAGCAGATAGAGACTAGAGCCATGATTGCGATTCCCGTCTCAGTTTCTCCGTGCTCACTCGTCTGCCAAGTTCTATCATTAGTATCTGCAGCATAGCCTGAGATATTTGCAATGTCTCTCATTATTCAAATCAGCGCATCATAGAAACCACTCCCATTGTTGTCAGCTTCCCAACATTCGATCTGCTTAGGGTTCCAATTAAGAATATAATTGCGTTTTGTATGATGAAAATTCCAACACCTTTCTTTTGGGCCACTTAAAGATACACTCAGATATGAACAGCCATCAATCTTTCTTCAAGATTTAGATATGGTGTAGCTAGACTATGACTACAATTGGCTTGGAATGGTCAAGGTGTTATGCAGCCATACTTATGACTGACTCGCAAGAGCGTTTAAATTAAGGGAAAAGCACAAAAGCACATCTATACGAAAGTTGGAAGGGTTCCCTTCAACTCAGTTCTCCTTCAGCCCGGTCTTCGTTCTTATTGTGTCCCGCATTATTGGGCGGAGTATTCCGACATTAATTGACTTTGGAAGTGGTATTTTATCTGTTTCGAGCAGCTCTGTAAGGTGGCTGTATTCACTGCACTTCTATATCTTCTAGTATTATGTTGTGATTGAACATTTAATACATGGATTTACTCTCATGAATCCCTTCTCGAATGGCAATGCATACATACACTAGGTTCCTCGAACTCAGTGAATATCTGCCGCTGTACTTCGATCACAAAATCGCCTAGCGTTTTATCTGCTACCTATTGTAATGGTTGTAGAGAAATCGCATATTTTAATCGTCGCATATTCGCTAAGGTTCGTCAGCGCGAGAATGCATTAGGAATTGTTGCTTGTTTAGAAAGGAGGTATATATGTGGTGACCAGAACAGAAAAATTGTGTGCCTGATTATTGCCTGCATTGTTACCTGAGTATTGTCTTTCCCCTTAAGGTTACTGAAGGCACGTGAGAAGTTAAGTTAGGTTACTGTAAGTAGCTCGCAATGCAGTGTCTCTTCCGAAGTACAAGGAGGTTTTTGACAAGCATCTTTAGGTGTATGCCCCCACTTTGTCACCAAGAAACTCTTGGCATTTTTGTAATCAATTTTTTGGGTCAAAAATTCGAGGCCCGTCCTTATGTGCACAGGACGCACCTGTTGGTTTCCGTATTTTTTCGCGTCTGTTAGTATGCTTCCTGTCTATGTCTACTTCCATCATCATCAATTTCTACTTCACTTCTATCATCATTTTTATCACCGTCTTCATTTCCATCGCCATTTCCATCGCCATTTCCATCGCTATCCCTCAGTCCCTCTATCTCCATCGCACAACATCTATTACGAATGTCAATCCGTCTTATATCGTATTGTATATAAGAGTTGTATTTTACTGTATCTGCTGCTTAGAACAACCCCACCTGTGGTAGTCTTCAGCAATTGTTGCTTGGAACAATCCCGCCAGTGGTAGTCGTTGAACAACCCCGCTAGTGATAGTCCTTCAGCAATTGCTGCTTAGAACAACCCCGCCTGTGGCAGTCTTCAGCACCTATTGCTTAAATTAACTCCAGTGCCAATACACATTACGCCTTATTTCGTCCAAGAGTCAAGGCTGCTCTATAGCCTGGGTGGGTTGGGAATCACACGTAATGTGTGGGCTAGTATTGTTTTCAATACAGACATTCCTTGACTACGCTCATCGCTAATTACAGTCACAGGGGCCAGTTATGCCTAATCCAACTGAGATTCTAATTGAGAAACTCAAGCTACGACTTCTCCTTCGCGAAAGAGTATTTATAAAATGGGAAGATGAATCAGGTACACCTTGCACATTGGGCACTCGCTCGAGTCGTAATAAGCAGGGTCTCAAATTCTTCATAGCTGCATACCATGATATGGAAGGATGTATTCATATTCACTTTTCACTTGAAGTATCCATCACAGTTGGAGGTAACAAACAAGAAATAGAGATGTTGTTGGTTGTTCCCCCTAATGCCGACTTCGCAAATGCTTCTAAGCCTCGTTTAATATCAAATATCAATGATCTATCTCGCCTCGACGCTTCTGCTATTCACGATGCCGAAATTAGCCATTCAATGCATGTTCTCTGTATACAATTCGACTTAATTGCTAAGGGATTTATTGTTATCAAGAAGAAGACTAATATGACTATCAAGCCACGAAACATCACCTCGAAAATTTTGATTCGTGGTCTCGAATCTCTATCTAATACAAAATCCTTCACCGTATATATCAAGCCAAATGATTATGCACTGGTAGGCCTAGAAGAGCTTCGTAATCGTTTAAGCAGCACGGGTGCTTCTATCGACATACATAAACCCAATATCAAGGAGATATACATTGAACAAACACCTGAATTAATGGAATGGTGTACTACACATGACTCAGTATCACTGCCACCACCATATACCGAGAATCCTCGTCAGCTACTTTCGGAAGTACAGGTTCCCCGATCACCACCAGCCATTTTCGAAAAGGGAACGCCGTTAATCAATACTACCGAAGCAGTAATCGCAGAGACACCTCCTCAGCTAGTTCCGGAAGTACAAGTAGGCCTGCCATCACCAATCATTTTCGAACAGGAAGCGCCTTTAATCGACACAATCCAAACAGTGATCGCAGAAAAACCAGCTCGAATTTCAAGCAGCCCTAACTCCACATCGGTACATGGTATTTTCTCTCCTAGCCGTGAAGAGTCGTCAGATAGTGAAGTGAACTTGAACCATATGGGAGAGGATTCGAGATGTACTCTAACGAACTTCGATATAGATTCAGATGAGGAACAGCTCGCTAACCTCAACTCTCGAGAACTCGATCATGATCCGGAGATATCACAAATGCTTAATTCGAAGTTGTTGAAATGGGTACAAACAGTGATAAGGATGAATTCAAACGTTCACGAACATACACGCTTAACTACCAAATTGTCAATTTTGGGCAAGTGTATCCGTACATCAAATGCTAGCATATTTGATGCTACCTTACTCTGGTGCTCTGCACTCTTTTTCTACGACCCGCTCGATTCCGATCCTGACAGCACTCTTGGATTATGGGAGGAGAGAAATTCATGGCTCATTTCGGACATAGCCAGATTGATTCAATGGGCTAATGGAATGCACCATAACGTCGAGACGAATTCGTCGCTTTGGAAACATTTCATAAAGCTGGGTGATGCTGCTCGTACTGTTGCTCTGAATACTAGATTCAATAATTACAAGTATTATGATCAGAAAAGTGTATGCATTGTTTGTATATTAGCGGAATTCCGCGACCTAGGTGGTGGTGGTGGTGATGGTGGCATCAGCAAAGAGAGCAAATCTGCTTCTCGAAAAGGCTTGGGAACCGCAAGTAATGCGTCTAAACGAGTAAAACTGTAATTTATACAAAATATACACATATTTTATGCTTCGAAGATGTGAAGCCCAAAGAAACAACAAGGAAACTCAGATGTAATTGAGCACAACATTGCAAGCTCAACTAACGGATTCTACACAACTTTCAACCCCCGATCAACCCATGGGTTAGCTACCCTGAAGACAGACTTCGAGGAATCAGGAACGCCTGAAAGAGTAGAAAACGGCTTGTTCCACTGTATTCGACACCAAGCGAAGGCCGCTCCATACGGCTTCGTTAATTGAAGTACGTGCATGTCAGCAAAGATGGAATGGCATCGACGACACTGTCTGCGACAGATCTGCTCATACAAGTACTGACTCCCTTCTCTGTAAGCTTGATGGTCTTTATATCTCGGTCGATACTTAAACGTGAAGCTGTGATTCAAATTGACAAGCTAAATATGATGGATACACAATCCTTCTCAGTATTTTATATTATTTGATTTCGAATATCACAAAGGCACGAACGTAGGTAAGTTTAAGTCAACTAACCATTTTCTTGCCAGTCGCGTTTGGGCCACCCCTTTGTTTTAAAATATTATTTTTCCGACCTAATAATAGCTCCATCAGAATACAATGGTATTTCGCAAGAAAAAATTGAGAAATAAATCTTCTCAGTGTAACTTGACAGCCTGCTCTTATTGTTTCCTATTTGCGTCTTCAAAAGCCTAGCCGAACATGATTCCACCAACAGACCATCTTCCAATGAAATCGTGTTCAACTGGGTTATCTGGTCGTTTTTAATGTTAAATGATATTTTCCCTCCACAAAATATCTAAACCTCATCTCCAGGCTTCGTCTCTCATTGTCCCAGTCCTATTGCGCCTTGTTCTGTAATAAAAAACGTCGCTTCTTTCACCATACGCCATAATGTCTGTCGAGCAGCATTAGGAGGTACCCAATCCTGATCATTCCGGACAAGTTCCCCAATAAGCGTCCGACCAAAAGCCTGCTGCTGATTGATTCCAGCGCCACAGTTCGCAAGAACAGCTCATGAAGATAACGTTTGAATCTTCAACTATAGCACCATTTGAAGCAGTACTCAACAAGAGCTCCTGGTCCATTGGGCGGTCGCTCGCTGCATTATAATTAGGATATCCATGCAAGGGAAGATATCCCTCGCTAATACTTGGACAAGCTTCCAAGTCTAGGGCCCAAAAATGTATTCCAGGTGTTGGATCGTATATCCATAGTCACATTGCTAGTGGTCGTATATCTGATTCGCATGATATCAAATCGATGGTATTGAACGCATAATACGTTGCAACATCAATTTGTAACCGGCGAACTTAGCAATTGCCTCAATAGGACGGGCTCATACAACTCTAACGCTGGTTCAATATGGTGGGTGTAATTTATAACCGACGCAATGTAAGATTATATAATAACTTACTATATTGATGTCAGCGCTCATCCTCATTAATCGAAAAACAGTCTCCAAACTTTCTTCGATGTAATAGCAAATGCCAAGAAAGATTTACCTTTGTAATCACATTCTGCCATGTTTGGCGACTGTCCTTTTTCTATCAACTCAAGAAGCGCAAATAATTTATCTCGCGGATCTGTTGCCCCTCCCTCTCATACACCATTTTATCATCAAATCAAGAGAATAGCGGTCTGGCTAATATTTGGTACTGGTTATCCACACCACCTGACACATCAGGTCACCCAAGAAGTCGAGATTAATTTTACTCTAGACAAAATGAATAGGTATGGGCTTAGTGCCCGATATCAAATTCTCTGATGCATGGCTCAATATTTTCCACTCCAGATGCAACGGCCCCCAGACTACACACAGGTTTGACGGGAGAATAGCTTCCTGCACAGTCCAGATTCGAGTCAACCACAGCTTTTCAGAGTTAGAAATATACCTCAACGCCCTCATAGTGCCTTTTGAATGATCCCAAAACGCAATAAAAGTTGGAACCGGGACTACATTTGGCGTCTTCAACCTCTGATAGAAGCGCCATGTATTCACAAAGTTCCACTCCCGCTTTTGCGTCAGTCAAATCAATATCATTTCGAATTTCTCCCATCCAGGCTTAAAATCTAAACAACAGGAGATATGTTTCAATCATCATTTGGACTTGCCAAGATTTCTCCTCCGGGTCGTCCTGATTGATGCATATCTGATCAATCCATAACGTCCTAACTGACTTCCCCAGTCTGAAGTTACGGAGAGCGTTACACAAATTTTTGGTAACTTCAAACTCCATTCCCGCAATCGATATGGTGTCTTATTTAGTAGCTTGGTCTCCCCAGATGTAAGATAGTGCTTCATACTGCGGAAGAGTAGAAAGAGACACGACGTAAATATCACATTCAACCGCTGCATTATCAGCCCCACTAACATTAGGAACGAGCTTCAGCAGTTCAACTTCATCACGAAAAACCGTGGTGTAAATATGAGATGATAATGTGACCATCTTTAAATACTCCCAATGATAAATCTTCATGAAAGATCTAACTTCTATGCCAACAAACTTTGGTGGTCGGTACGAACTAATATCATGCAAACGAATTTTTGGCGATCAGTACAACAAGCACTTACCAATTTTGACGGTGGGAATGATGGCTCCACAAAGGAGAGAATACATTCACCATCTCGGATCGGACCAAAGATCATTACAACAGCAGATTTTAGTTTTTCCGCAGTAAATTTTTGATGATCTGGTGGAAAAGCTCACTCGTGGGCATTCGTGCGAGCTAATTGGGCACTGCAAAAATTGATTCGGCAATATTTTTTGAAGTCTGAGTTCAAAAAATTTGAAAAGTTTTACAATTATCAATCCAAGATTCAATAGCAAATAGATGGAATCTTATATCAAACAATTAGAAATCAAATACGGTATATGATGAATTTGGAAAGCCAAGAAGTGTGCGATTTGCTCATCTACACGCTGGTGGACCTGCATAATTATTCTCACACCTACGTTGAAAGACTCATTAACACTAAACTCTCAAAGGATCTGTAGAGCCAAACTAAAGGAGGTTCTTTTACTAGGATCTGCGACTATTGATACGGTTTGGTTGATCTAAAAGGTACTCTAATTATTTGATCCAACCCTTTGGTCCACCCCAAGTACCCTTCACCATGTATTTCCCGTACACCCATGGAAAGAAATTCTTTTTCAAATAATAAAATTCCGTTCGCGGAATGGCTTGATCAATACCGAACCATTTGTTAAATGTCTCCTTTGGTACTCCGCCGTACTTGAATTCTGCAAGAAGTACCTTGCCATATTCAGTCAAGAGAGGACACGACGTATAGCCATCGTAAATTTCCTCCGGTTCCCGACCATCAATAGCCAAGAGCAGATTTCGAACCAGAACTGGTGCCTCTGCAGTGATCGCTGCAATTGTTTTGGAGGTTGGCAGACTTGAAGCGTCTCCAGCAGACCAGATATTATGGTATTTGATATGACGGGTAGTCCCTTCGTCGACGTTGACATACCCAGCATCATTTGCAAGCACGCTATTCTTGACAAAATCATGTGGTTTATTCTTTGGTACCACATGCAAAAGATCAAAGTCTCTCGTAACCTGATCTTTACCATCTGGACGAGTAAAAGTTGCCTTGTTACCATCAATGGCGGTGAGGTCATGCTGAAACAACCCTTCCACAAGCCTTTCTCTTCTTAATTCCTCAAGCTTGGCACTATATTTGGGAACACCAAACATTGTTGGGAGACCAGTGGCAAAAGAAATATTTATCGCGGAATTGGAAGGATCCTTAATATCATATAAACCAGCACGTTTCCAATGATCCAATGCTAGCCACATAATCTTCTGCGGAGCACCAGCACACTTGATAACACCGGCTGGTTGGGTGAAAATTGCTTTTCCCTTTTGAAGTTTTTGTATCGTACCAAAGACCTTGTCACAAGTGTCGTAATTATATATAGAGGACACAAGAGAATCTGGGTTTCCAAGTGCTTCGGATAATCCCTTCACACTTCCAACATCAACCGTAATACCTGGAGCAACAACGAGTTGGTCATAATTAACAATATCCCCGTTTTTCAATGTAATGAAGTTTTCATCTGGGGAAAACCCCTCCACACCGGTATTGTAAAACTTAAGTTTCGAATCAATCAAATCCTTCAAAGGTTTTCGGAGACTCTCCTTTGTCTTAAGACCACCTCCAACCAGAGTCCATCCAGGTTGATAGTGATGCCAGGTGGCTGGGTCAACAATAGCAATATCGTCTTGATGAAGATTTCCTTGCCTAAGGAGCTGATGACTGATAGCAAGGCCAGCGGAGCCTCCACCTACTACGACAATTTTGTGATTCCTGTTGTGGCCAACCACAGGTGATACAGTCGCAAAACCTCGAGAAGTCCGCGCCAATTGAGACCTGGGGATAGAACGTAAGGGTATCAACATTATTGTAAAGTACGTTATCACGTTACCACAAAGGATAAATCTATGAGTATCAAAAGAAAGTATAAAAGTAATTGAACGGACAAGGAATACTCATGTCGCTCAAGCCCATTGAAAGGATTTTTGACATTCGTGGTAAGAAGTTCGATTACTAAACAATTTTAGTCAGCAAAACGATCACGCCATCCTTATCGCGTGTCATCCCAATGACACGTCTCACTGGGGTTATTCCTGCTTCGTTCAGAGTGGTTGAACAGTGTGGCTTTCATTAATCCTCAATGTACCTTTCCCGTTGTATCTGCATTTAATGCTTGATATAGTTATAGGATTAAGCATATATAATATAATATTTGAACGTATTGGTCAACAAATTATGATATATGATATTAGTGATCCAAATATCTTTTGAAATCCATGATAGCTTTTTTGACAACCCATCGGAGAATGCCTTCAAATTCACCCCACTTTTATTCATCCTGAGGGTTTGATTGGCCGCTGGATCACGTGCATAATCTTGGCGTAATATTTTATACCAATCAAAAAACGTTATATTAATTTGCCCAACCCTATCAATGATATATTTCCACAGAAATTCTACAGCCATTTCTTGGTTTTCATGGTTTCCAGAATTTTCTTTCAGGGCTGCGAAGGAAGGAAATTCCGAGTTGACGTCCAGGAATAGGGATAAATAAATGATAGTAATTTATTCTGCCACTGAACGAAAACATGATTGTCTAACGTTCATCATTGAAAAACGTGTGACCTATTTTGCACGTAATTGTAATCATTTCTCGCAACGAATGATATTCTCATCGCCAAAGGAGCTCCAGGCAATTATGCAGTTACTTCGACGTGATTATAGATCCTCCCGAGAAACATTTTTTGAATTCTGACCACCAGTGGGTGTACGGACTCACGGGATAGTACAAAAATGAACTTGTAAATATCTTTTAATACATTGAACTATTTATTTTAAAATTTGTTGTATTTCTTGAATAAAGATAAAATAATCAAAATACAACTTCTGATATCAAACAATCGAATAACGTGTTTTATCAGTGAGTAGTTCATATCAGTGAATAAGTCACTTATTTTATATACAAAATTCGTTTGTGTATAACCATGCACTTTCTTTATTTATAGATATAATTTTTTGAAAATTTAATTCAAAATACTTGAATATATAAAAATCTCAAAAATCTAATTAGTTTTAGGAAATTCGAATTTATAAAACTATTATTATAAAAAAAAGTTTTTTTGTAACAAAAATTGTAACAATTTCCTTTTTTTTTTAGAAAATAATAAAACTATTTTATAAAGATTATATTAATAGAAAATCTAGATTTTAATTAATTTTTAAGATTTTTTTTTAAAAAAAATAATAATGGATTATTAAAATATTAATATTTTAAGAAATTTGATTTAAATAATTTTCGAAATAATTTATTTACTAATATAAACCACTCACTAATAAAATACATTATAAAAATTAGATTAATAAAAAATCTAGATTTTAATTATTTTTTAAAATCTTTTATTCAAAAAAATAATAATTAATTATTAAAATATTAATATTTTAAGAAACTTAATTTAAATAATTTTCGAAATGATCTATTTACTAATATAAACCACTTACTGATAAAACACGTTAATGGATTTATTGAAAATATTGAAAATTGGGAAGTGTCCCGTCAGTCCATGCACCCACTGGTGGACCAGCTACTACCCTTAAAACATTTTCATGTCGCACATTACCAGCAGGCGAACTCACGATTCAGGGCTTTCCTCTCTCAAATAATCATGGAGCATCTCGATACATAGATATTATGGCGAGTCGTTCTATTAATGAGGAAATTCGTATCTCGTATATTACGATAAATCAAGAGATCGCCGCGTTGAATGAAAAGGGGCGAAGATGAGATTGCCAATGCCAAATTGTGAGTCCTTGATCGACCGTAAAGAGCATTCAACTGGGACTTTGACTAAACGTATCATGAAATGAATAAGGCGTCGCAGATATTACCTGGCACATTGAGGGATCGGAGGATTGTGCTGAATATCTTATCTCATGGCATGTCTGTTTGGTGGTGGCTTGGTGTTGATGAATTGGTATTGGTCTTTGGGTCTGGGTTTGGTTCGAGAATTCAGCGTCAGTAAGCGGTAAGCGACGGTCCATGTTACAAGCAAGACAAAGCGATTATTGGACCTCGACAGATCCTAATGAATTCATTTTCCTATTTTAACGCGCCAGCTCTGCAAGCTAAGGTTCAGATTGTTGAGCTCTCCTTCGTTTCGATATTTTGCTGAACAAATCCTATCCTGCATTCGGGCATGTCAAGTTCGAGTGTATCGAAGTATTCTCGATCAAGTATAATAGCACACCTAATAGGAATGGATTTTAGAAACGTCCCTAAGAACGAAGCACGACAGCTTTAGCCATTCGTTAGTGATTGTAAGAGTTGTGGCCTCAGCTTATCGCATATCACCTTATTTCGTAACAAAATCCCTGCAAAAAAGCTGTTTTTTTATATAAATTAATTTCTTTAATTATTTTATTAAATATTGAATTATTGATTTGAAAATTTGATATATAAAAGATATTAATATTTTAAATTTAAAAAAATAAATAAAATATTTTTAATAATTTTTTTGAAAAAATTGTTGATTTTTAAAATTGAGATTTTTCAAAAATTATTATAAGTTATGTAATACTCTTGCTATACAAAAAAATCGATTTTTTTGAAATTTTTGAAAGTTTTGATTTCAAAGATTTATAACTTTTTCAAAAAAATAATTAAAAATATTCTATTCATTTTTTTAAATTATTTTATTAAATCATTATTCTTATTGTTTTAATTAAAAATAATATAATATATATAACGTGATTTATCATCGAGTAGACCACTTTCACCTCAATTCACACTTTCAAACTCATATTATTCAATAACAACTAAATCAATTGATTGAAACTATAAAGATTCTAATAATCTAGAATTTATTAAATTATTTTAATAAATTCTTATATTATACCCAGTCTTTCCATACTTACTATAACATTAATTAAAAGATACTTCTTTATTAGAATTCCTTTTTTTTTAATATTTATTATATTGAATCTAAATATCAACCTTTTATTGAAATAATATATCAAAAGCCTCTTATTTAATAAATACTTCTTTTTAATATAATTAAGTTTTTTTTGTATATCAATATTTACTTAATATTTCATTTGTTATTTGAAGTATATAAATCTCTGTATTCAAAAGTATATTTTTATAAATTAATCTCTTTATACCCTTAACTAAAGCTAATATAATTTTGAATATAGATATAGAAAAACTTAATTAATAATAAATTATTTGAGATTTTATTAAAATTGATTATAAAAAAGCTTTAAATAGATTATAAGAAATTTGAAAGATTTATAAATCTTAATTGAAAAAAGGGGGAATAAATATGTGAATTCGAATATTTAGTTTCGAAAGTATAGTTTCAAAATTGAAAAATATTAAACCTATTTTTCAAAACCCTGATTTTATATTCTAAGAAATAATTGATTTTTTGTATATAGCTTTAAAAACTATAAAGAATTCAATTTTCGAAATATAATTAATATATACCTTAATAAATCTATCAATTTGATTATTATATAAATATTTCAGATTATTAAAATAGCTAATATCAAATAATTGAATTAAATAACTTGAATACAATAATAAACTTAAATATATAATATTGTTCTCTTTGTAGTATACTTGAAAAGCTATTGATTTATAGTTTTTATATCTATCTAATATTAACATTCAATATTTGCCCTTTCTTCGATTCTTAATATATTTATCAAAGTATTTCAATTATTCTAAATCTATCTCATTATTTGTTTATTTATTAAATATAGATTTAATAATTTATTCCATAGAAAAATCGATTTTGATATATTAACTAAAAAGGTGAATCTATTCCTAAATCATTAGAAATAAGAGAATAGTTTTATTCTCCTTATTTTCGTATATTATTGCTATAGTCTATTCTTGATTGCTTAATTATATTAATTTATTTCTATTACATCTCTCAATATTAATTATAATTATTCTAGGGTATATTATATTTATTATAAAGCCTATTTCGTTAAAATTATAGAAATCATTATTCAAAATACTAAATTTTATTTATATATTTGTAATCAATTGAAACCAATCTTTAATAAACTTAGAATCTTTATAAAAAGCTTTTTGAAAATTATAAATATAATTAAAATATATCTTTAATTCAATTTGATATTTTATAAATTATCACGGAGGAATAGCTATGTCGATTGGTCACTTTGATTATATAATAGGTATGTATGGTGATAATAAACTAGATTAATTTGAGGTATGATTATAAGGATTATATTTACCTTATATATATCTTAATTAAATAATAGAATTACTTAATTAGATATTAGAGTTTATAAATGAAATGGAATAATAGGTTATATAATGATTATAGTGTAGGTAATATTAAAGAGTGCTTTGCTGGATTATATATTATTATATAAAACAATGAATTCTGTAATACACTCCCCAAATCAATTGGTGTTTTGATAGTTATACAAAGTGATTTGTATAATAAACAAAGGAAAATTAGTAGATAATATATACTACAAGTATTAGTGAAAATAGCTATTAAATAGTTATTATTTTTTTAATCTATCTGATAGATTTATTGATAAATAAAGGAATATAAGGTATATAAAATGTATGATTTTTTGTAAAAAGAATAAAGAAAGTTATTGCTTGAATGTAAATAATTATAAAATGAGTATTGATCCTCAAATAAATGATTTAATTCTACAAGTTTTTGTTGATAGGATTGTATATATTATTGTATTTACAGATTGATTGAGTATTTACAATTATTAATTCAAATAATAAATATATATAATATTTTGTAGCAATAATGGAATTATATAGAATTTGATAAATATTGAAGATTATTAATTGAGAATATTAATTGATTTG